TGACTGACTGACTGACACAGGGGCCTGCCGACTGTGACTGACTGACTGACACAGGGGCCTGCTGACTGTGACTGACTGACTCACTGACACAGGGGCCTGCTGACAAACACAGGCAGGGGTTGACACAGGGACTGGCTGAGCTGACAAACAGCTTAAGCACATCGGTATCAGACGCAAGCGGTGCTCGAGCTTGGCGACGTCTCTCGGCCCATGCCCGAGTGTCGGATGCCCTGTGCGGCCCGGCGGGCCTTGCGGGCTGAGCTGTGCCTATTGGCCGCTCTGGGATCCCGTTCGCCACCGGTGATGCATTGGAGCCCATTGATCTTGCGGCCTGTTCCCCGCGTCTCTGCTCCGGCTTCTCGTTCCTGCTCTGAAGCGCGTCGTGTTTCAGCGGCCAGTTCCCTCTTCTCGGTTCCCAGTTTCCCCTCCGGTCTGCGTGCGTCCGGATTGAGGAAGGGGGCGGAGAGCTGGGGCGCTAGCAGACGCGGGCGGCCCGCTCGGACCCTGCAGTGGTGGCCGGGAGGGGGAGGCAGCCATGGGGGCAAGAGAACAAGAGAGATGCCGCCACACGTCCGTGCGCGTGGCGTACGGGCAGCAGGAGCGCCCCGGCTGAGCCGAGCCCCCCGCGTGCCGGTCTGACGTCTCCCCCCCCACCCCCACCACTGCGTTTTCAGAAGCGAGAGACGAGCGTAGCGTCTCGACCTCTCGCCTCCCGGAGCCAGTGACAGCAGGAAGGAAGCTGTGTGGCTGAGCTTGCAACACGTACCAGCTCAGTCACTCTCTCTCTCTGCCTGCCGTCCCTCCATCAGCAGTTAGAGAACAGGAAGTCCCCGGGTGGGGCTGGCGCAGATTATTTCTCTGTTTCTCGCGCGGCAGCTCGGGACCTTGTGCTCTTTATTTTGTTCCAAGTTTCGCCTGTTTTTTTTTGTCCTCCCTCCCCTGCACATCCAGTCCGGGTGGGAGCGGCCAGTGCCGCGTGCCGGAGAGGGAGGGGTGGGGGGAGGCCTGGGAGCGTGGGATTGTGGGACTCCAGCGATGTCCAGCGAGGAGGGCCCGGGGCCCGGGCCGCGGGCGGAGGAGAGCGCGGCCGACGCTCCGGAGATCGAGACCGCGGTAGGGCAGCTCGGCCCCGCGGCCGCCGGCGCTCCAGTGTCCGTTGGCTGACGTCGCGGTTTTCGGTTTCTCGCCGCCGTCCCTCTCGTTCTCTTGCTCCGCTCCTGTGTCGGCCACTCCCATCTCCCCGCCGGGGCCCCGTGTGTGTGTGTGTGGCCCCGCGTGGCCCCGGGCCTCAGCCTCCAGGGACGGGGCTGACCTGTGTGTGTGCGATGGGGGAGGGGAGAGGAGGGTGCTGTCAGGACGGCCAGGCGCAGGCTCGGCACCGCGCAGGGATCACTTCCATCCTAATCTGTTTATTTTTCTTTCTGATTCAATTGTCATCGATTTGAGAGGTCAACAGGCTTCAGTTTTCCAGAGAGTTGTCATCCTGAATGTGTCTCATTACTATGTGACTCATTAGTTGTTATATGAACTCGTACTTGTTAAACCCAGTGCTAATCTGCTGAGAGCAGGAATAGATAACAGCCTCGCATGTCTCCTCCTGACATCACAGAGCACAGGCCGGACTGGACTGACTGTACTGTGAGCTGGATTAGTTACTAACTGAGATTATAATCAGACTCACACTGACCGAGCAGTCTGAGACTCTCCAGGGCAGGACTGGACTGACTGTACTGTGAGCTGGATTAGTTACTAACTGAGATTATAATCAGACTCACACTGACCGAGCAGTCTGAGACTCTCCAGGGC